TTCTCTAGAAACAAGCAAATAAAACTCCAAAACACAAAGAGAGGAGGGCACGTAGAACAAGCATGGCAAAGCCAGTATGGTGCAGTGATCTCTGATCCCGGGTGGGTGGCACATGAGGGTTACTACACTCTACTGTAGAGTATGTCTGGAAATGTTCACAGTAAAATGCTGGAAAGGGGAAAACAAAAAAAGAGGAAGGGGAGAAGGAAAGGAGGGAAGGCCATAGGGAGGGAAGAAGGGGGATATGTCTGGAAATGCCCACAGAAAATGCTGCAAAGGGAAAACAAAAGAGGAAGGAGAAGGAAGAGGGAAGGCCATAGGGAGGGAAGAAGGGGAGAAGGAAAGGAGGGAAGGCCACAGAGGGAAGAAGGGGGAGGAGGGAGGGCTCGAGGAGGGATGAAGGGGAGAAGGAAAGGAGGAGGCCACAGGGAGGGATGAAGGGGAGAAGGAAAGGAGGGGAGGCAGGGCCGTAGCTGGCAGAGACATGGAGAAGGAAAGGAGGGAGGGCCGTAGGGAAGGATGAAGGGGAGAAGGAAAGGAGGGTGGAGGGCCAGCAGGGAGGGAAGAAGGGAGAAGGAAAGGAGGGAGGGCTACAGAGGGAAGGATGAAGGGGAGAAGGAAAGAGGAAAGCACAGAGGAAGAAGGGGAGAAGGAAAGGAGGGAGGGCCGTAGGGAAGGATGAAGGGGAGAAGGAAAGGAGGGAGGGCCGCAGGGAGGGAGCCAAGGGGAGGCTGAAAGGAGGGAGGGCCACAGGAGGGATGAAGGGGGAGAAGGAAAGGAGGGAGGGCCGAGGGGAAGGATGAAGGAAGGAAAGAGGAGGTGGTTGTTAGGGAAGATGAAGGGAGAAGGAAAGTGGAGGGAAGGCCATAGGGAGAGGGAAGTGAGAAGGAAAAAGGAGGGAGGGCTGTAGGAAGGATGCGGGAGAGAAGGATGAAGGGGAGAAGGAAATAGGAGGGAAGGCCATAGGGAGGGAAGAAGGGGAGAAGGAAAGGAGGGAAGGCCGTAGGGAGGGATGAAGGGGAGAAGGAAAGGAGGGAGGGCAGCAGGGACGGAAGAAGGGTTCATCAACTGGGATGTCTCTCTATCACTGCAGGAACCAAGCTCAAGGCCAATTTGTACCTAATTGTTATGAACAAAGGGTGGGAATGACATTTTCACTTGCCTTTCCTCACCAGGGGTTTGTTATTTACTCAGGCACAACTAAAATATCAGAAGGGAAAGATAGGAAAGGGAAATGGATGTTTTCTGAGAGCCCTGACCACAAAGCTGACTCTGAAAGCCACTCATTTGATAAGGAGATACTGGCATCTGTGCGTCCACAGGGAAATGTCCGAACACCAAGTGCACTCCTCTTTTCCTCCCACAGTAGCGGCCACCTTCACCTCTACAGCTCTAATCCCAAACACTGCCAATGGAGAGAGCGCCTCCCTGGACACAAGTTTGTTCAAGATGTCTCTGTTATAGATATTCTGCCAATATTGTTTTTATTCTACATAATGAAAACATCCACTTATGCCACCACTACACTGAAGCCCGAGAGACCAGAATGTGTCGCATTTGTGTAAGGTATCTGCCAGATAGCCCAGATGGTAAGTGACACAGAGGCTTGAGAAACCCAGTGAGAGGCAGGTAACTGAGCTTCCGGCAAGCTCCCAGTCAGTACATTCAGTTATATCCCAGCTGATCTTAAGCCCTGGAACCCTGGTACTGTTGGCTTACCTGTGAGTCTACTTGACTTCTATTGTAAAAGATCTTGCTGTTCACAATTCCTCCTAAAATTACCATGTTAACCATGACTTAGACTTCATAAATGTTCCCCGCAATGCCGTCAAACCATTCTTTGTTCATTTATGAGATATACTAATCTCCTAAGTTTTTATTAGGCTTTTATAATCTGGATCTAACTTTGTAGAAAACCAAATCAAGGGAGGAAGAGTAACTCAAAGCAGGCAGTTATGATGATTTTCAATAATGGCTCAAAGAACACTTTTCAAACCTCATTTAATGCTGGTAAGTTAATAAAACCATCATGAGATGTAAAAATATTAATTTTCATTAAACTTACCTCTTCATACTCCCAAGGACAGATGACAACAGCAGGAAGAGGTAATTAACACTCAAAAGCTTGAAAAGTAAATGTGGTCATTTGAAAAATGGACAAGAACACAGCATAATATGAGGAGTATTCCCGCATATACTCTTCCTTACTCTAATTTACTCTGGCCTGACTCAGAACATGAGTTCTGTAAAAACACTCTCGACTAACTGGAAGTGAGTTCTTTCTTACTGGGTCCCCACTATGTGGAAGGCATGATGGCGGACTCCGAATGAGGAAGGCATGTTTCTTACCCAATCAGAGCTCACAGCCCAGCAGTGTTTAGGCAAGTATCCAAAAACAATTATGCAAGACAAAATAACATGAAATTCAAATAAAAGAGCAGTTGCAGCAAAACCACCCCCAGGGTGTGGAGGCAGGAGTGCCAGCAGCTGTCGGGAGGGGAGGGCCTAGGAGTTGTGGGGCTCAGCAGCTCAGTCTCTCCGACTTTCTCCTGCGTGTCTTGCCCCTATCATCCTCCCCCAAGGCAAACTATAGGATCCAGAATTTCTCTTCCCCAATGCAGGTGACAGGAACCAGAACCCCTTTCCCCAAAGCTAGCCATAAAACCTAAAAATACTACTCTAGCCTTCCCCACGCCTTTCCGTGTAACAGCTGGCCATAAAGACCTTGGACAAGAGGATCCTGCGCCATTCCTGGAAGGAAGAAATGCTACAACAGAGAGGCCAAGAAAAACGTGGAGACAGGCCTTGCTGGGCTTCCCCACTCGGTCTATTTCCATCAGCTCACACCCTTTTTTCCAACTGGATTTCCACATGGCGGTCTGTGCTTCTTCAAATCTAAGCAAAATCTGGAGAGTTCACCCTGGGTCTCTGGTCTTCATTCTGAAAGCTCCTGTGTCATGTAAAACTATGATTGAACACGTGTTTTGCTTTTCTATTGTTAATGTTTGGCATGGGGTGTCAGCCATGACCCTTATGATGGGGTAGAGAGGGATCACCCCCTTTCCACCCCTACAGAGTGAATCAAAGAAGGTTCTGAGCACCGTTCTGCTGATGGAATTCACGCATGGAACCTATGTCTCCTGTCAGCCCAAAGCCCCCTCCCTTCAGCGCTGAGGAAGGAGGAGTCTGCTGGGTCTCGACCTGATGGCACTGCCTCGGTGTATAAGAGCAACAGAAACACACCTCGGGGATTGGCACCTGGTCTTACTCTGCCAAAAATGCCTTGGGATCTGCTCTGATCCTGCGATGGCTGCAGCATCACAAAGTGAGGCTGACAGAACAAAGGTCCCCCGCAAACATGTCCATGCCCTAATCCCTGGAACCTTTGACTATGGCACCTCACACAGCAAAGGGACTTTGCACATGCGATTAATTAGGGAAGCTGAGATGAGATCATCCTGGGCAACCTACATGGGCCCCGAATCCCATGGCAGATATCCTTATGAGGGACAGGAGAGAAGACAGACACCGAGGAGGGGTCATGTGAAGACAGAGCAGAACCGGGAGCTGTGTAGCCACTTGCCGGGGAACGCCTGGAGTCACCAGAAGCTGAAAAATGTAGGGAAGGACTTTCCATACAGCCTTTGGAGGGAGGGCAGCCTTGACAGCACTTTGAATTCTGGTTTTGGATTCTGTGAGCCAAGAATAAATTTTTGTTGTCTTAAGCTTCCCAGTCTATGGTAATTTGCTATGGAAGCCCTAGCAAATGAACACAGTTACTAAGTAACTCTTCTGTGTCAAGTCAGGATAGCAAAGCCTGCCTTGGCTCAGGCGGAGTAAACAGCCAGGGCTCGCAAGTGACAGAAGAACTGTCAGGGAGAAGCCATGGAATCTGCACCCAGTAGATCTGACTGGTAAGATGTTCTCAAGCTAGCAGGATCTCATTTCAGCCTGCCCAAAGAAACTGTTTCACCTGTTGGCCCAGTCCACAGTTAGAAGACTAAAGGCAAAAGGAACTGTATATATTAATAAAAACCAGGCTCTCGTTGATTCAGTGGTTCCCATAGGGCGAGACAGCAATTCCAACGCTGTCATACACACGTATGTACTGAAAAGTAGGCAAATGAGCCACAGGCGATGGGAGCCACGTTTCTCACTGTTGGAGTGGGAGGTGAGAGACAGCAGGGAAAAGGCAAGAGTGATTCATGGGGTAAAGGATTAGGGCTGGAGACACCAGTGTGGACTCACAGAAACAGATGGTTCCATACAGAAGTATTTACTGATATGTGTATACACACAGGTCAGTACACACAGACATTTCCTTGCTCCATCAGCCGAGAGGACCTAAAAGCAATGCCACCGCAGTCTAAATAAGCACACTAGCATCCAGCTTGTGGTTTCTAACAACATCTCCAACAGAGGGGACCAGGGTTCCCTAGAGAAACGGCTGAACCTAAGACTGGAGCAGGAAATACACAAGAAGAATCTAGGGCATCTAGCAATATTGGAAAGCAAGGAGGTGCTCAAAAATAAACAAACCCACCAGCCCAGAATGATGGGGCAAGTCGAAGGGACACAAGAGACAACAGAACAGGCTACCAATGGCCAAAGCAGGAACAACTGGAGAACAAAATAAGGAGTCCTGGATTAGAACCTAAAGTATAAAATAAGTATCTGTGAGTCCATAATGATATAAATGACTGAGTAAATAAATGCAAGAAAACAGATAAACCTCCTGCACGGAAGAATTCCAAATAACATATGTAGACACTTTCCCCTTAAGGAGATGAAGCCTAAATAACTCCTCCCTCCAAAAGTGCAGGCTGCTCACTGTGACTTCCTTTCAGAGCACAGTATGAAGGGAGGGGGAAAGTGTGACTTTACAGTGGAGAAACCTGCCAATCACTATTTCAGTCAGGTAAGCAAGGTCAACAGCAAAAGAGAGAAGTCATGTAGACGGTATGTAGGCTTGATACGATGTAACAAAAATGACACTTTACCTCTGTGGTCTTCCTCCCAATCCCCACACCCCTGTGGCACTGACTCCGTGGGGTGAAGGCTAAAGCAAATAATCAGTTACGCTGGGTTGCTGTGAACTGAGATTTCTGGAGAAGAAGAAAGGGGTATGGATATAAGTTCTATTACATTAAGCAAAAACGCTGTAGTCCAGAAACAGACTTGGATGTTACCAGTATGCACTCATGAAATATTTTATCTTGAACAATGGTTTTCCCTGTCTGTTGAAATGGCTTAAAAACAACTGCCATTCCAACAGTAATGAGCACCCTGTTAGGTCCAGATTACGGTCTTTAAGTACCATTTTTCACTTTAAAACAGCTAACTAGGGCTCCTTGGAGAAACAGCTGATTCCAGATTTGAGAGAATAAATCTGACCATAACTTCCTCTTACTGTTGGGAGGAACTTCAAAACGTATGATGACCTACTGAATCCTCTCTGCCTGGCTCCCTCTCCAGTCCCATCTCCTCCCTGCCAAGGACTCAGTCACATTCACTTTCTTTTGTCTCCTCAAATCTGTGGTTGGCAGAATAATGGCCACCCAAAGGTGTTCACATCCTAATCCCTGGAACCTATGAATATGTTACCTCCTATGCCAAAAGGGACTTCACAGATGTAAGGACCTTGAGACGCAGAGATTAATCTGGATTATCCAAGTGGGCCCAATCTAATCAAATGAGAAATCCTTAAAACTGGAAAACCTGTCCTGGATCAGATCAGACAGATGTGATGACAAAAGCAGGGTCAGAGAAGGGCAATGTTGTTAGCTTGGAATATGGAGGAAAGGGCAAATAAGCCAAGGAATGCAGGTGGCCTCTAGCAGCTGCAAAAAGCAAAAAAACAGATTCTCCCTAGAGCCTCCAGACAGCCGTTATTATACACATCTTTTTAATTAAAAAGTCCAAAATCACCCAGCTAGTAAGTGGCAGTGGGAGGACGAGAAGCCAGGCAGTCTGACACAGAAGTTGGTGCCCTTAACCATGATGCTAATATTTGTCTCCCACATAACGGAAATTTCAATACCTTTTTCATTTATTAACATGATACCCTCCAGTGTTCAGGACAGCTTAATAAATAGCTGCTGAATATGAATGAATGGGACAAAGATACAATTTCCCCCTGCTATTCTTGGTAAAAAAATAAAAATAAAAATAAAATTTAAAAAAACTCTGTTATGGAAAGTAAAATACGTACAAAACTAGGGTAATGATAGAAGGAGCTCTCAAATACTCATCGCCCAACTTCAACACTTAGCAACATAGGGCCAATCTTAATGCCAACATTAGTTTGGTATTATATTGTCTGGAAATACTCCCCCTTCAATAGTCTTTTTCAGAATCACATATTCCCAGCTCTCATTACATTTTCATTTATCTGTGTCAACATGAATTTTAAAAAGAAACCTTAAAATGGGCAGGTCTTTCTAAGCAAAACACAAAACAAAGACACTGTAAAGGGGAGATCGATATTTTTAACTACATAAAATTAAAATTTTTTTGCAAAGCCTAGAGATTGTATTACACAAAGTATTAAAAAATAGGGTGGAAATAGTTATAGTATATATGACAAAAGATTAGTATTCTCAATATATAATTCTTATAAATCAAAAGACCACACACCCCAGAGAAAAACAGATGTAGAAATGAATATACATTTTCTCTACTATTCTTTCCTTCCCTTCCCTCCTCCTTTAATTTTTTGAGACAGGGTCTCACTGTGTTGCCCAGGCTGGAGCACAGTGGCATAATCAGTGTAATCACAGCTCACTGCAGCCTCAGTCTCCTGGGATCAAACAATCCTCCCGTCTCGGCCTCCTAAACTGCTGGAATTACAGTACGAGCCACCATACCTGGCCCCCCACCACTATTCTTAAATGACAAAGAGACAAGGGCTTCCAACTGACACTATTTGTCAGCATACTTCTTGTGGTGCTCTAGAACTTGAGCAATGAACACTCTAGAACAGAGGCTAACAGTTCTCACCTGTAAGCTTGTTTCTTCAAGGAAGTGTTGCTTTAGAATCCAGATCCACAGTAAGCCTGAGAGTCTTAAAAACTTGTGACTTCAGAGTCCTTCCACATGACTCAAGACAAAGTAAGTCCACCTCATAGGGTGACCAGAAAGTCCATGGGGACCAAATATCCAGTTTTCGGTCCTGTTGGGAGGTAAGATAAAAGGAAGTCAACTGAAGAAAATTAAACATTTAAGCAACAAGGGGCTTAAAAACAAACATAAATGACCTAACTCCCATTAGAAGGCAATCTGAGACCCTGGGCATATGCCCAAGGAAGGAATATATTTTTGTTCAGTGCAAAAATGTAGTTCACATGCTTGAGGGGCCAAAGAATGCCTTGAATACAGGCACCTTCCAGTGACCGAGAGAAAGAGTTCAAAGTTCTCAAGACCTCCTTGACAAAATGTGGTACATATATGTGATGGAGTACTATTCAGCCATTAAAAAGGAGATCCTGTCATTTGCAACAATATGGTGGAGCTGGAGGTCATTATGTGAAGTGAAATAACCCAGGCAGGCACATAAATACAAACTTTGCATGTTCTTACTCACTTGTGGGAGCCAAAAATTAAAACAATCAAATTCACTGAGAGAGAGATCAGAATGATGGTTACTAGAGGCTAGGAAGGGTAGTAGGGAGGTTGGGGGAAAGTAGAGATGGTTAATGGGTACAGAAACATAGAAAGCAGGAATAAGATCTAGTATTTGATAGCACAATAGGGTGACTATAGTCAGTAATAATGTAACTGTACATTTAAAAATAACTAAGAGTATCATCAGATGGTAACACAAAAGATAAATGCTTGAAGTGATGGATACCGCATTTACCCTGATTATTTATGTGATTATTACACATTGTATCTCATATACTCTGTAATGAGGGTTATTACACATTGTATCTCATATACACCTACTACTAGGTACCCACAAAAATTAATCAAGAAAGAACTCTGAGAAATAACAGCTCTATATACTCTCCCACAAGTAAGAAAAGTAAAAAGAAAGAGAAAAAATGTATTCTCAGCCATCAGGCAAAGCCGATTTTAGTAATGCTGAGCTCCTATTTTGGTAATGTTGAGCTTCTTTGATGAGGGTTTCCAAGTCTTTAAAGTCAGATAAATTTAGATTTTAAAAAAGTCAAACCACTTCTGAAGTAGACTTGCCAAAAATGGCAAGCATGAACCTAATTAAGCCTCTAGATCTAACTTCTAGTTTACAGGAAATATAGGGGATAGAGAAGCAAGCCAAACCATACTCCACCAAAGGCAGCCCAACAGATCCAGAACGTGAGGCACCCTACAGGCAATCAACCAAGCAACATTGACAGTCATTGGCATTAAAGAAACCCGCCAAGGCTGCTCTAGACCTGGGTCGACAAATCACAGCCTGCGGGTCAGTCCAGCCTGTGGGTGGATTTTAAAACACAAAGGTTTTGGAAATTAAGTATTATGGGAACACAGCCGCGCTTATCCATTTACTATCACCCCTGGCTACTTCTGCATGACAATGGCAGAGCTGAGCAGTTACAGCAGAGACCATAGGGCCTGCAAAGCCTGAAAGAGCTGGTATCTGGCCCTTCACAGAGAAATTTGCCACCCCTGCCCTAGACTGAAAGAGACAACAGCTGGGCATGGTAGCTTAGTCTGTAATCGCAGCACTTTGGGAGGCCGAGGCAGGTGGATCACTTGAGTTCAGGAGTTCGAGACCAGCCTGGCCAACATGGTGAAACCCCGTCTCTACTAAAAATACAAAAAAAAGTAGCTGGGCGTGGTGGTGTACACCTGTAATCCCAGCTACTTGGGAGGCTGAGGCAGGAGAATCGCTTAAACCCAGAAGGCAGAGGTTGCAGTGAGCCAAGATTGTGCCACTGCACTCCAGCCTGGGTGACAAGAGTCAATGAGATTCCATTGCAGGTGAGGGGAACAACCAACCAGCCTGGGCAATACCTATCTCTACAAAAAAAAAAAAAATTAGCTGGGTGTTGTGGCACATGCCTGTAATCCCAACTACTCAGGAGGCTGAGGTGGGAGGATGGCTTGAATCCAGGAGTTGGAGGTTACAGTGAGCCATGATCTCAACAGAGCTGGATCCTGTCTCAAAAAATAAAAAGATAACAGATAGTCAACAAATTCTTGTCTGGATTTGGATTCAAACAAACCAACAGTAAAAATAAGTTAATTTTTGAGGTGATCGGGTAAATTTGATCATGGGCTAGGTTTTAGAAAATATTAAGAAATTATTGTCAATTTCATCAGGAGGTGATAATTGTATTATGGTTACACAAGCAAATGCCCTTTCTCTGGAGAAGCATGCTGAACAATTTAGGGGTGAAATGTTATGTTGTCTGGAATAAATTGCTTTAAACTGCTTCAGCCACAACCAAAAAAAGAAAAAAAACATGAAGTGGATATGGCCAAACAAGACTTGTGAAGTCCATTTGATGGATATATGGAAATTCATTCTACTACTTTGCTGTGCTTTCATGTTTGCTTAAAATTTTCCCAATAAACAAGCAAAAAAAAAAAAAAAAAAATCAGAACCTTGATTGAAAAGTAGAGGTTATCACCAGAGAGCCTTGCTTTCCAGGCACCCCCACCCCCACCCCACCCCTCTTCATGCACAGTCCAGGCTCAGCACGCCAGCTGTTTGCCTTTCTCTGAACACACTGTCATTTTCAGCTTCTTATTTTTGCTCATGGTGTTGGCCACCCTTTCCACTCTTCTGCCTATAAAAACCCACTCTCTGCTTAAGGTCTGCCCAACTGTGACCTTCTTCTGGCCCTCCAGTGAGCACTCACCTCTCAGGTCCAACAGCACACTGCCTCTGGTTTCATTCTTCTCTACGTTCTAGCTATTTACCAGGTCTGTTACCTCATGATGCCATACAATCCCAGAGACTTCCAACAGCTGAGTCTTTTCTGTAAATCCATTTGAGGGGGTATCAAGACGCCTTTTACGGAGCAAGCTCCGCGGTCCAGGGGCAGCTCCTCACAGCCTAAACACGGCTGCTTTATCCTGAGCAGTTTTACTGACAATAGAGCTTCGACTGAAGAATGAATTCCTGTTCAGCAGGACACTGAGCAGTAATGTTTAATTGAACCCTCTTAAAATTCCTAATAGATTTTGCCTAGATGGAGGATGTTTTAAAGAGGGCTGCGAATATTTCGTGTTTTTGTCTTCTTATTGTCACCCTTCCTTGGGTCCTGTCCCTCTTCAAGCACGCCTGCACTACACCTCCACACCAGTCTGCCGGGGCCCTAATCCCTGGTAAGGGCCCTGGCTCCAGGTGGGTACAAAGCCTCCCAATGACTTCACTTCAAGAATGGACACAGATTGGAAATCTTACTAGTAAAGAGAAAAATGAACAGATCATTTTAAAATCCCTCTTCTGTTCTACTTACTGCTACCCACTATCCAGAGAACCACAAACCACCACCCTCTCCTGACTAGTAGGAGGTAGGTCCTGGTTAGTAAAGTCAACTAGCCCAAAGTATTTCCATACAAAAATCCACCAATTCGAAATTAATTTAACTTTGCAAACTCAGCTTTTACAATACAAATCTCTGCTAGAGCACAGTGGTCTGCTTATGGAGGAAAGTCTGGCTTCTCCTGGGAACAGTTGCAGGAAAACAAGGCATTTTGGGAAAATACGGGCAAACTGCAGGTGCTCCTCATCTGAGCATTTCAATAAATTGAATGAGGCCAGGGAAAAGTCGTCTTCATTTACAGGTAAATGTACATAAGGACACGTACGTGTGTGAAGACCTACACTTTATATAGGTCACCTGTAGTTTTCCATTAATCATTTTTCCTGGGACATTTAGCAAAATAAGTAACTTGCTTTTTAAAAAAGGCCACAGATTCTGGGTGCGGTGGCTCACGCCTGTAATCCCAACACTTTGGGAGGCCAAGGCGGGCGGATCACGAGGACAGGAGTTCGAGACCAGCCTGGCCAACATGGTGAAACCCCGTCTCTACTAAAAACACAAAAATAGCTGGGCGTGGTTGCAGGCGCCTGTCATCCCAGCTACTCGGGAGGCTGAGGCAGGAGAATCGCTTGAACCCAGGAGGCAGAGGCTGCAGTGAGCCGAGAGCGCGCCACTGCACTCCTGCCTGGGCGACAGGGCAAGACTCCATCCCAAACAACAACAAAAAGGCCAGAAATCTAATACATTTTATCATTTCAATATTAATCAGCTAAGCGTAGAGTTAAGAAGCTGCGTTCCAAAAACACTTAAGTCGGCTTTTGAGCCTATGGCGTTGTCCTTGGCCCAAAGAGTAAAAGAGCAATGATAACCATACTTAATAATCAAGTCAATAAATTTCTTCAAAATTTCAGAATTTTCACTAACGGCTCCAAAGAAACCTTAGATCAGAAATTCACAAGTGCCAGGAGACGTTTTTAGATTTCTTTTGCTGCTTCTAGTCTCCTTACAAACGGGAAATCTTTAAGAACAATTTCTGAGAAGCGTTAGCCTGGTTCAGCTGAGGTCCTCTGAAAGCCAGCGTGTGGGCGGCCACGTTTCCTTTACAGGAAAGCAGCGTCCGTGCGTGAGGCGGTTCCTGGCTTTTCCCGCCCTCCGCCCGTTCTGGCAATCGCGCCCGTGGCCCCCGCGCGGGGCAGTGGAGGACGCGTTTCGGGGTCCACCGTCCCTTCCCTCCGGCTGGCCTCGCCGGCGGCGCCCCAGGCTTCCTCCCTCACCCGCGGGGACGCCAGGTGCTGCGGCCTCGGCCCAGACGCCGCGCAGGGAGCAACGCCCCGAGTTCCCGCGGGGCTCAGGACACCCCGCGCGGGGGGCGGAGCGGACGCTTCCCCGACCCCCTCCCGCGCTCAGCGCCTCACCTGCCGGCAGCCGGGGCGTCGGAGAGGGCCGGGCCTGGGCGGAAATGCAGGGCCGGGCCCGCGCCTCTGCTCCCAGGCCGCCCCCGGCGGCGCCCCCTGCAGGCGGTACGCGAGGCCCGCACGCCCCTGCTGCGCCCTCGCACACACCTGGCCGCAGGCACAACTGACCGCCTAAGAGCCAGACCCACCCACCCCGATGCCCGCCGGAGACGCCCCGCGGCAGACACAGCGCAACCAGCTTCACACAGCTGGGGACGCCCCACAGAAGTCACATCCACCCTAACACACCTGAGCACTCAGGCTCAAGCCCCGACTGCATGGTGGACCCAGATACACCTGGGCCACACCCCACAAAACACAGACTCACGACTCCACAAGCTTGAGGACACAGCACATCAGATGGACGCACACTCACACACAAATGAACTTAAAGCTCAGACACACCTGGGGATGCAAGCCATGTGTCTATCTATCACATCACACGTTACCAAGGGCCCCCAGCATAGCGTGCACACAGCCCTGATACCGAGTCCAGACCGTCATCTAGTCACACTGCCCACTTATTTACCAATACTCTTTTAAAATGAAACTGTGGTTGAAGGAGACAATGGAAGGATGACATCACCTCTTCCCTATCTCCAGGACTAATTTAAGCCCCAGAAATTACAGGACTGAGAACCAAAATCAGAAGAGAAAATTTTCCCTAGAGACATTGGGTTGAAGCAATGCCACTTGGGGGCCAGGTGGTAGGAATGGTACAGATATGGAGAGAGTGACACTTCTGTCTCTCCGAAAGCCACAAATCTGTGTTTATCAGATTAGCAATAATCCCCCTTAATCATTTTCTGCCCTTTCTACTTTCTCATGGGCGTGGACTGATAGAAACCTTTATATAAATTGGTTTTTATCCAAACATTTCCAACAGTGCAGATGTGATTGTATTTTGAACAGATGTACAATTCCAAAAGAAATCTAAACCATCAGGTACATAAGTAGTTGGTTTTCACAGAGTTTTTTCTTGTCTTGGACACTTCATGATTAAATTGAAATATATTTTTAAAAACTTGTCTAGCTCATATTAATATTTTTAAAGGGAGCAGTAATCTTAACTTTTTGAAGGGAAAGAATGATTCCACTTTCATTTCTTTTTTGAGGGAAGAAAATCATGTCAGCAAAGGAAAGTAAGGCAAATAGATTAATTCTTCTGATAAAGGAAAATTAAAGATGACAGGATGAATTTTTTGTTTTGAGACGGGTTCTCACTCTGTCACCTAGGTTGGAGTACAGTAGCATGTGCTGGCTCATTGCAACCTCTGCTTCCCAGGCTCGAGTGATCCTCCTACCTTAGCCTCCTGAGTAGCTGGGACCACAGGCATGCACCACCACGCCCGGCTAGTTTCTTGTATTTTTGGTAGAGACAGGATTTCACCACGTTGCCCAGGCTGGTCTTGAACTCCTGAGCTCAGGCAATCCACCCACCTTGGCCTCCCAAAGCGATGGGATTACACATATTCAAGACAAATGTTAAGTTGCGTCTATCACCAGGTAAGGCTGGGAAAACCCAATTTAACATGGAATAGGCTCTGTGGGATGAAGCCTTCAGTTTAACTTCTTGGAAAACAACTCACAATTTGAAGAGCAGTTTTTGAAATGTGGTGCCAGTCCAGCAGCATCAGCAGCACCTGGGTATTTAGAAATGCACAATCTCCAGCCACACCGGAGGTGTCCTGACTCTGGGGGTGAGGCCCAGAGATGTACGTTTTAATGAGTGATGCCAGTTCAAGTTTGAGAACCATCGTCTTTTGAGGATGTACCTCGGTGCTTCTCAAACTTTAATGTGCATGTGAATCAACCCAGGATCTTGTTGAAAAGTGTAGATTCTGGTTCAGCTAGCCAGGAGTAGGGTCTGAGATTCTGCAGGTGGACAGAGGGTGCTAAGTAAGGATTTTCTTGTGTATGGACACACTCCAGGGTGCTGTCACTGTGAAGACAGCTCCACGGCAAAGCAAGGGTCTCATAGAGATAAAACTCACAAAGTGTCTCAAGGAAACAGACTGGTCAGTCTAGGCAGGTCCCGGGCTTGTCACATTTAGGGGTGGTTACTCAGGATCCCTTGGCAAGCCAGCTGCTCTGGTGGCTTTTAGGAAGTGGGTTGACTCACCAAATCTGTTTGGTTGTGTCCAAATGGTACTATTGAGTCATTCACTGCAAAGGGTTCAGCTCTGTTCATTCTGGCCCCTTTACTCTGCCTTTTTACAAACTCCCACATCCTCTAGGCTTAGGGTCATGCAGTCAGCAAATCACTATGCACCTGTGTTAGTCTGTTCTTGCATTGCTATAAAGAACTACCTGAGACTTGGTAATTTATAGAGAAAAGAGGTTTAATTGACTCACAGTTCCACGGGTTGTACAGGAAGCATGACTGGGGAAGCCTCAGGAAACTTACGATATGGCTGAAGGTGAAGAGGAAAGAGTCACATCTTAAACTCTTAAATGGCCAGAGACAGAGAGAGAGAGAGTAAAGGAGGAGGTACTACACAGTTTTAAACAGCCAAATCCTGTGAGAACTCACTCACTATCACGAGAACAGCCAGGGGGAAATCTATCCCCATGATTCAATCACCTCCCACCAGGCCCCTCCTCCAACACCGGGGATTACAATTCAGCATGAGATTTGGGTGGGGACATAGACCCAAATCATATCAGCACCTGTTCAAAGCTCAGCAAACGTTTTCTTTATCAACTCCAAGGATTTAAACCAGCAAATTGTCTTTAACCAGAATTAACCAGTTTGGCATTTGTATTTCCTAAATCAGAGCCGGTAATTGCTGATCTCTGTTTTCTACACCTGGGTGTAATGTCTAATTTACATTCCTATTTAACTAAATACATTGCCACTTAATATGATGCAAATGAGGTCAACCTCCTCTGGGTGTTACCTCTCCTGCTTGTCTCCAGCATTGCAAATACCACTCAATAGAGGGGAAGGTATCCCCTGCGTCTCTTGAAACTCTAGTTATAATGTGAAATAAACCACCGAAAGGAGGGGCTGTATAAGAGGCTTGAAGTCCAACTGAATAACACCGTAAAATCTACTGAAGTATTACCAAATTATTCCAGTAAACCATTCAATAATCATCTTTGGGCCTAAATAGCCTGCAGACTAAATCCAACCTGGTTGTCTGCGGCCTTCACATAATGAGTTTTACATTTTTAAATACTTTAATTTTAAATTACATTTTAAACTCTTTACATTTTGGAAACAAAAGAATCATAATAGTTCATGAGATTTAAGTTTCAGTGTCTGTATGTAAAATTTGGTTTGTTGACACTGTCTGTGACTGCTTTCACAGGACAGCGGCAGCACTGAGTAACTGCCGCTGAGACCATATGGCCTGTAAAGCCTAAAATACTTAACTTCTTCCCTTTTACAGAAAGTTTGCCCACCCTGCAAACTGTGTTTCTTGCTCTTGCGTCTGTTTCAACACTTTCCTCTCCTTTCTGTAACTGTCTCCCTACTGAACCCAGTTTCACGAGCACAGACCTTAATGCTTTGTGTGTATGTTTCAAGGACCTCATGCCATGAGGTTTATTTTCTGATCATTTCCCTTTGCAAATCAGTGTGAACTTAATAAGAAGACTTTCAAGTTTCAACATAGGATTATTAGGCGAATTCAGAAAATGTGTGTGCAAAAGACAGCAAATAGTGTATATTTTGCAAACCATTGGATTCCTTACTTCCACTTCTAAACCTGGCTCTAAAAAGTTGTTGTTAAATTTGAAAACAGCAGGATTATTCTTTCTGTGTGATTATTTAACTTGTTACAACAGGTCTCACTGCCGAACAATTTAAACCCATGACAAATTAACGAGCAGAGAAAACCAACCTCACGAAGCTAAGTTCACTCACATTAAATTCAATCCCAGTATTTCTAGAATTAATGTTTTAAAGATGATGTGAGTTGCTGTCAGGTTTTTGTGAATAAGGCATTGACCTTTTCTCCACAAAAGATACGCAGTATCTTTTTTTTTTTTTTTTTTTTTTGAGACGGAGTCTCGCTGTCGCCCAGGCTGGAGTGCAGTGGCCGGATCTCAGCTCACTGCAAGCTCCGCCTCCCGGGTTTTTACGCCATTCTCCTGCCTCAGCCTCCCGAGTAGCCGGGACTACAGGCGCCCGCCACCTCGCCCGGCTAGTTTTTTGTATTTTTTAGTAGAGACGGGGTTTCACCGTGTTAGCCAGGATGGTCTCGAACTCCTGACCTCGTGATCCGCCCGTCTCGGCCTCCCAAAGTGCTGGGATTACAGGCTTGAGCCACCGCACCCGGCCCGCAGTATCTTTTTTAAAAAGTATATGAAATTTTCCAAGAAATTGAAGTTGAGATGGTTTATGCTATTGTTGCCATCTTCTGTAATTTCAGGAACAACAAGCAAAGACCAGAACAAAGCACTATGAGATTATTTCCTCAGCTTTGTTGAATAAATCCCTCATCATGAATAGGAGAATAACTAAGAATTCTCAGAAATAATCTGACCAGCCAAGTATACTATCCACCATGCTCAAAGCTAATGACATTGAAAGAGCTGTAGGCAGGCCACAGCCATCTCTAACCCTATCACCTTGCTGCCAATCAAGTCATTGGGCCCTGCTATCCAAACAGTAACTTTTAAAAGGAAATAATGCTAATCTGGTGTCTAGAAATGTAAACATTACAAAATGAAATGTAGCTTGGTTCCCTTTGAGTGGTCAATGTAGGGAATGAATGCATATTGAGTGGGCCTCGTATACCAGGCACTTCATGATGCTTCTTATGTCATCCTTTGAAGAATAGTATGAACCAGATATTATTATCCCCATTCTATCTGTGAAATGGCTCTGAGAGGTGAAATAACTCACTCAAAGGTACACTGCCAGTAAATGAGAGTGCAACGGCTTGAACTCACACGCAGCTGAGCCAAAAACCCATGCTCTTAACATGAGGTTTAAATGGGGAATCTGGGTAATATACCTTGAAATGTATATTATCAGGACTCATCATTTATGTTTGAACCTCTTTGTTAAAATTGTTAGTTCCAGTAAATAATCCTATGTATGTAGTTCTCTCAATGAAGCTCTTTCACATACATGATCCATTT